AAAAAAAAAAAAAAAAAAAAGAAATTCAAGTATAACAAAGCACTATTGGCAAAATTGATCTATCACATGGTACCCCAATTTAATAATTATATGCTTTTATTGTTCATTAATTATTCTGTGTGTACTATTAAGTATATTAATATAATGCATTAAATTAAATTTAATATATTACCTTTAATTTTGTATAACATTAGAATGAGTCAAATTAATGATAGATTTATATGGGGATAAGACGTGTATGTCTCTGTACATCACTGTGTTCTAAATGATTTTGTATATCAAATCAAAATATAAATAGCAAGAAAATGTATATCAAAGTGAAGATATTAGATGATTACATAGGGATTTAAGAAACAGGAGTGGATAAATAAAATATTCTACTGTTATAAATACCTTTCAGGTGTTTCTGCCCAGTTTTCCTTCATAGTCAGATGCTTTGGGAGCTGGTACTGTTGGGGGAACCCCTTGTAGTTATGGCACCCTCACCATCGGAGTCTTCAGAGACTGTATTGGCACTTGTTAAGTGAGTATATTTGGTTCCTGTTGGTGATATTTGCAGCACTTTCTTATCTCTAGTATGTGTCCCCAAACATGATTACATTGATCCACACAACAGCCGTTTCAGAACATAGTGCTTATTATAGTACCATTTAATGTATGAGAAAATTGATTCAGGCTCCATGAGGGCTAGAATCATGTTTTTGTTGTTCTAAATGACAAGCACATTCATTTATTACATGAAGTTGGCCCTTGATAAATGTTATTTGCATGAATGGTCAGTGCTTAGTCAAAGGTATACATAGTGAACAGTAGAGCCTATCTTCTGCCTCAAACCCAGTTTATTCTTTTAGTATACCATTCTGCATTATATATTTCCATTTGTCTTTTTTGTTCCCTGAAATGAGTTTACTGTTTATAGAAATAAATAAATTATCCTTTTGAATATATACCGTGTGTATAGATGCTTCATGGTTACAGAGTAGGGGCTTTAATTTCTGTGTCTTTTGTTTTACATGTTTGTCCTGCTCCACAGCTGTATTTCTCCATTAAAGTACTTCAGTGATTTCCGACCTTATTTCACTATTCATGATAGTGAATTCAAAGAATATACTACCCGTACTCAAGCTCCGTGAGTAAACAGAATAACTTTTATTAACCAGCTATTACCTTTATAACCAAAGTTATATAGAATTATTTTTGGTAAGTTTAATTTCAGTTTTGAACATAGGTAGATAGATTTTATAAAAGGAAGGTTTGAAGAGTTGCTAGTAATGATTTCAGATTTCAAGAGTTAGTACCTTATTTTCTTTGAGTGATTTTATTTATAAATGAGAGCTCTGTTGATATAAATAGCCATTGGACTATACTTATAATTCTACCTTTAAGAAAAATCTTTTCGGCTCGGCGCCTGTGGCTCAACTGGCTGGGGCGCCAGCCACGTACACCTAGGGTGGCGGGTTCGAGTCCCCAGCCCGGACCCGCCAAACAACCATGGCTGCAACCAAAAAATGGCCGGGCGTTGTGGCGGGCGCCTGTGGTCCCAGCTACTTGGGAGGCTGAGGCAGGAGACTCGCTTGAGCCC